TTGTATCAATGTCATGAGCTCATAACAACTTAAAGTCCTTTTAAGTTTTTCAGTCTCTAAGGTAGGAGTGGGAGAGGCATTCCCAGTGTTTTCCCAGAAAATCTCTCCTGGGGCCAGGAAAAAGTCTCCCATAATAGATGCCACTGTTGTGTATCATCAAGCACAGGTGATGATGGGGCAATTCTAAATACTAGGTGGGGGTGCAGTTACACTGTCAGACTTCCTTTGATAGGCCTTCCCAGGGGGAACAGTTGCATTCAGGCTAAGCTGGCCAGGTGCTCATCATCAGAGCTATCTCTGAAGCAAAAATGAATTATGAAAAAATGTGACCAAGATGTTGCTGAGCAGTTGTTGAGCGGCTTTGTGGGATTTCTTAACCAGAAAATGCCTAGCTAGTGCTAAGGACTAAGTACAGTGACAGGGAAAGTATTTGCCAAAGAGTGTAGTGACAGAGGCTGCTGCAGGAACGTGTGCATGTGAACTATATTATTTAGCAAGTCCGGGACTAGGGATATGAATTCCACATAATGTGATTTGCTGTCTTGCTTGTGATCAAAATGAGTGCAGGAATGCAAACTCACATTTATTTTGAAAAATTTTACAAGAATGCTTAAATTTATTTACGAAAACTTAATCGATTTTGGATTCAAGTCCTGCAGTTTTAAAGATCAGCCTGCATTTTTCTTTCAGAAATGTAGGAAAATTCCATTATGTGATATAATTTATGCTACAATTCCAGCCAAAGGCGTGCATAGATATACCACTGTTTCTGAGCAAGAGTCAAACTTTATGTGGAAATAACTGTATGTATATATTATATGCATATTTAATTTCTGAAGCCTAAAAGAATAGTGACTAGGAAATGTAATAGGAGATGCAGTCGCAAAGAATCTGATTTTCTCGCTAAGGTGGTATGATTTCTTTTTATGCTCTCATGTGACCAAGCTAACAGGCAGAAATCTTCATGAAGTGTAAAACATCTGTGTTGTCTGATGAGACGCTGGCTTTGAGTAAACCTGTCTGAGATCGGTTGAAACAGAGATACTTCTTCATTTTCTAATTACCCAAAGGACTTGGCCTAACTGTTTCTGAGATGAAGTGCGTTATGTTTCTTGTCATCATTTCTGTTTTTAATAAATACCAGAGGTTTGAAATAGCAAGAATTTTTAAAATTTCTGGTAGGAGCATCTTCTTTGAATTAACTTGACATTCTGATAAAAGCACAAGCAGGGTGCAAACCCAAACTAACTGCACCTACTGGCCAATATCAGGATGCCATTACTGTTTCTCTGTTCTTGGTTATTTAAATACATAAACATATTATAGCTCACTTTGTAAATATTTACATTAGCCTTTACTTGCTTTGGGATCAGAAGAAACCATTTTTCCTTTGGTTGTGAAAACGTGGCAATGAATCCACATGATAAGAGTGGACATACGTAATATTCACTGCATTTAGCACAGGAGATTTTTCTCATTGACAGTTTGGAGAGTTCACAGTTAAATGTACTTCCTGCCATTTGCAGTTGAAAAAAAAATAAAAAAATTTGAACTCAGCTTTGCTGGATAAGGACTACAAAAGATAAAACTTGGCTAACTAGACTTCTTTGGTAAATTTAGATTACAAAATTTTTATTGCTTTGTAAGATAACTATATTACATAACCCCAGAACAAAGTAATTATATTTAATAGTTTAAACAGCTCATTACTAATTAGCCGTGATTACACCTGAAAAACCACAAGAATGAATGCTTTTTATAGCAGTGATTTTAACAAGAGTTTTAAACACCTTTTCCTTTCTACTTTCAGCTCTTTCCATTTGTAGACAGAACAACAAAGCGGGGGAGCCTTGAGGGGGAGGGGAGAAATAACAAAACTTTTTTTTTCTTTTTCTTCCAGCTAAAAGAATTACTTTGGCTTTATAAAACCTGCTTTAAAGTGTCAGGCTATAACTAAGATCACGCCTGTTTGGCATATGAAGTCTCTGTCATCCTGTTAGCATTCAGAGAGCTAATATGCAGTCTCCTAAGGGGAGATATTTTATTCTTTTGAGGCAAAAAATAGAAAAGCAGTCCCTGGAAGACATGGTAATCCATGGTGCTTAATGTTTTGTTTTGGAAATGCATAAAACAGGTGTCCTGCTGAGAGAGATCAAGTACTTGGAGATCTGACTGCATTTACCTGGAAAATGGAGGTGCTCAGCCTTTCTCAGGTCAGAGTGAGCATTAGCCAGTGTGTGCTTGCTTCTGAAAAGACAAGATGTTATTTCTTTAGAAGGATGTGCAGGTTCAGCCAGTTGATGGTAGAATTTCATTTAGAGAAAGTGCATGGGGAACCCTTATATGTTTCTGGATTCATTCAAAGAGAAAAAGATGGATTGGGGGGAATAAAAATTTAAAGAAATGAGAGGTTAGTGTCTGGGAGCAGGTGCCTTTCACAGCCCATTCTGGAAGAAAACCTTGGTACAGCAGAGGCTCAGACACTGCTTAATGGGACTTGTTTCATTTGGAGGGTCCTGTTCCAGCCCCCCCACCATGGCAACACTCCTGCCTCCTTTCTCCCAGGCATCCCGATAACCCTTCAACCTTCACTTGGTCCTCTCTAACTTGGTATTGGGAGTGGCTGCTTGGTATGGAAAAAGCCATAGCCACAGGAGGCAGGAAAAGGAGATGCTGGCAATGGATCTTGGAGTTGAGTTATAGTTTGGGTTTGGGTTTGTTTTTACTATACATACTGAATTGCTCCTAGAAGTGTGTTCAGTGGGGATTGACACCTTGTTCCACTGTGGTTACTTAAGATAATTCGTTGTGTTATAAATGAAGTCTCAACTCTGAATTTAGTAACATAACAGAATATTTATAAAAGGCAAGTAAACAGCGCTGGGTGCGCGGGGAGTCTGTGCTCTACCAACACGCACACGCACCCGTCGAACTTCCCAAATATATATAGGACATTGCTGTTACATATTTACAAGAAACCCGAGTTCGCCTATACATATGGATATCCTATCCCCGCTTCATATTATAACTCTCTTTGTGGTGGTCGTTGTGGGTGAAAGGCTCACGGTTTCCCCATCACCATTAGCAACCTTTTGTTCCAGAATGCAGGAGCAGCTTCGACTGTCTCCCTCTTCTGCACATGCTCTGCCCACCACAAGGTTCCCGAAAGCAACAAAACGTGATTGCTTTTCCCGCGTTTCGTTAACCCTTGAAATCACACTAATAATATTATTATCATATAACATTAAACAATAAATGTTAACAGTTCTAACCAGCAACCCCCCCAGCAACTTCCGTGCCTTAACAGAGGGGGTTGCTTGTTTTACATTCCTGATGACCTCATCGTTAATAGTCTGATGTTATCACCAACCACGAGGCTTTCCTGACCCCCATTGCTACATTCCCAAATCTCCCCCTTCTTTATTAATATAAACCATTTTTCTGACACGAATTACCACTCCATATATAACAATTGTTTGTTTTAAGAGTCAGGTAAATTCTGCATGGAATCGTAGGCTAACTGATAGTCATGGTGCACATAGCCAACTGCTTGTCATTTCTTCGTAAGTTTTTAAGTAGCAGAAAAAGTTTCTGATTTTCTTCTGCCCTCCAGGCGCTTGTCAGACCTGAGACCTAGATTTGACATTTACTTTGCACTGAAAGTGAACTTTTCAGTAAAGGGAGTGTGTGTGGGGGGGGAAGCTTTTTTTTTTTTTTTTTTCCCTCCCACCCCCCCTTTCGGAAAGATTTTAAACAATCGTGGATAGCTAATGTTCAGTTTGGTCTCTAGCTTTCATCTAATTAGATGTATCTGCATTTATTTTAATTGTAAATGAACTGACACTACCACTATATAAGAATAAAACAGTAATCAATACAGAGTGATTGCTGTGTCCCAGGTTTCTTCTCAGATTCTCTAGCAAGAGGCAAAATTCATTCTTATCTATATGCTCAATTTTGTGAGCAACCACTGAAACTTGTGGTTGTGTTCATGTTTACTCCCTCTGTTCCTTTTCTACTCTTTTCAAAGAGTTGTGGCTCTCCGTCAGGGAGCTTAGCAGCAACCCACTGTTGTGAGACACAAACTTGCCTTCTTGGCGTCCATGCTGTATGACCCCTCAGTTGTATTCCCAATGCTTTTCTTCTATAAAGCAGGATGAACTATCAAGTCAAGTACTGACTGCTTAAAAAAACATTTTAGAAATTTTAAAGATGGTGTGATTTCAATTGCAAGTTGTGGTATTCTAAAAACTGACACTGTTGTTCTCTTTCATGTGCTGAGTTTTGCCCCTTTCTCTAGGGGCAGCATTGGTGATATGCAGAATGGAGCAGGAAGGGCTTCCAGAAAAACAAACTGGTGTTTAAAGAGTCAGTTCTTCAGCTTTTCTCACTTTTGTAATGCCCATTTTCCTGGGACCATATTCTCCACGTACACTTTTCTATCACTGAAGATGGGCGTTTTCTTTCCTGAGTATGTTCAAATTTCTGTTAGAATACAGAAATGTGTATTTGTATATGTAGCTTCCATAAGCTAGTGTACTTCTACCTTGTTTTTCTGGATTTGTTTCTTCTGTTTTGTTTGTTTCGTTTTATATATTTTGCAGGTTAGATTTATGCCCTAATAGCATTAGCAGATGAGGTTTCTGCTCTAAGCCAGCGTTGTAGGCTACCATCAGAAATCAGAGTTTTCTTTGCAATTCTTTTTTCTCCCTGTTCTCCAGCTCTTGGCTTAGTGGTTTGACCTTTTGCATAAGCTATTTTTCATCAGCATTTGCCAAGGTTTTCTTAAACACTTTAGCAGTGCTTTGCAAGCATAGAGCATGAATGTTAACTGTTTCATTCTTTATCTGTGCTCTGTTGACTGATTTTTTGGGAAGTAGTTTAGTCCATAATCTTGGGTCAGGAGGTCTTAGCACTGGAAGCCATAATATATATAACAATGACCTCTGATTCATTGTTTCAAATTCCACTTAATCATGTATTTCTGTATTTCTCTGTAGGTCACATTACACTTGAATCCAATTTCATCTGTACATATTCACCAGAAGCCTCTGGTGTTTCTTCTCAACTCTCCTTTGCCTCTGCACTGGAAGCTAAAAACAGAAAGACTGGCACCTGGAATCCGAAGAGTTTTCTTTGTAAGTATAGACAGTCCTCTGGCCTGCTCTGTTTCATAGCTATTTGTCTCACAAGACATTGAGTTTGTGGCATTCATTTGGAAAGTTCTTGAACATACATTTAAAAAAGGAAAGTTAACACAAGGTCAAGTTTCAGTGTAGGGTTCTGAGGTATAGTTAGGTGGCAGGGCAAAGCGGTTGGGGAAAAAGTACTTAATTACCTGTTGTGTGAATTCAAGGAAAAGAAACCGAAATTACCTTTTTTATTTATTTTTTTAACACCAGCAGTAATTCGAGTTCACAAAGTTGTGAGGTTATAAAAGGTTGCTAGTCCTGATTAGAAGTTTGATAATATAATGCAAAAAGCCTCAAAGCAATGGGAAATATTACAGGTGAATGCCAGTTGTAGGGTTTGTGACCAAACAAGAATTTGCATCAATGTGTACAATTATAGTTTATGTCCCTAATGAAGCTTGGTCTGTTGAAATGACCAAGCTAAGCCCAGAATGAAGTCATTTTTATTTCTCAGAAAGGCTGGAGCACTGCTTATAATATAGGATCCAAATATTACCTAGTATATGTAAATCATGTCCATACAGTTTGCCAGGACATTCAAGTTTGCTATTTGTAGCGAAACAGACAAGTTGTTTGGATTACATTTTTAATGTGTTACATCATGTCTAATCATGAGTCGTCTTTATTAAAGTTGCAGCTTTTACTGTGTTCAACTCTAATTGCAGAACTAATCTTGATTATTTTTAGCTATATCCTTATAGGGTTTAACTTTGCTCTTCCAGCACAGCTGACTGTGGTAGGCAGTGACTGCTTCTGCAGTACCTAAAGGGAGCTTAATGGGGTCACTGCACATCTGCGGGAGGGGAGGGTGGTCAGGACTGCTGCACTGGGAAGGGACACTTCTCTTTGTTGACCTGATATAGCGGTGATGCCATTAAGTGCACCAAGAGACTTATTGCTCACAGGGATAGATTTCTTTTTCCTGTCATCAGAGTACAAGAGTAGGAATACTTTTGGTACTTCGAACTGTAAAGGACTCCATCCTGTTTCCAGTGCAATTTGTTACTTACTGGTGTAAAGAACATGGGTTGGCTTGTATTCTGAAGTGTTCAAAATCTCAGATTTTCTCAATCTGTTAGAGACTCTTAACTATTAACTTCTTGTGGACCGTTCCTGCTATATGCCCTTAATGCAACCAATACAATTCAGGTCTGCTCCGAAAATGACTGAGAAACAAGATGATGATAAGAGTCCTCACTCCTCTTCTGATCAAAAGAATCAGCACATTTTACCAGTTAATTAAGACTTTATCATATTTTCAGTTTACTTTTGACATCATCACTCCCATTTCATATCAGCTAATATGTTTTCAGCTATCTCTTTTCCTCCCCTTCAGATTTTCCTTTTCCCTTTGCCTTGCCTTGGCTTTGCAAGTGAAGAGGCTTTCTGTTGAGAGTCATCCATTTCTGCTCAGCAGTTTTGACGCAATGAGGAAGGCTAAAGCCCACATAGAGATCAGGCTTGCAAAAGAGATAAAGGATAATATGAAGGTTTATTTTTAACTATGTAAGCAGTAAAAGGAAGACTAGGGATAATGTGGGTCCCTTGCTGAACGAGGGGGTGTCCTGGTAGCAGGAGATGCTGAGAAGGCGGAGATACTGAATGCTTTCTTTGCTTCAGTCTTTGCTTCAAGGACTCCCCCCCGGGACTCCTTGACCCTAGAGGGAGGAGAGTCTGGGAAGTGAAGATTTCCCCCCTTGTTGACAAAGGAGTGGTTCGGGAGCGTCTGTGTGGGCTCAATGCACACAAATCCTGTGGGTCCCGATGGGATGCATCCACATGTGCTAAGGGAATTGGCAGAGGTGATTGCTGAACCACTCTATCATCTTTGAAAGGCCCTGGAGAACAGGAGAGGTGCCTGAAGATTGGAGGATAGCCAATGTCACTCCGGTCTTCAAAAAGGGCAAGAAGGAGGATGCGGGAAACTACAGGCCAGTCAGGCTCACCTCTGTCCCTGGAAAGGTGCTGGAGCAGCTTGTTCTGGATGCCATCTCCAACCAATTGGAAGAGAAGAAGGTTATGAGGAGTATTCAGCATGGATTCACCAAGGGGAAGTCGTGCTCGACCAACCTCATTGCCTTCTATGATGGCATCACCAGCTGGGTAGATGAGGGGAGAGCAGTGGATGTCATCTACCTTGACTTTAGCAAGGCTTTCGGTACTGTCTCCCATGACATCCTAACAGCAAAGCTGAGGAAGTGTGGGATAGAGGAGTAGACAGTAAGGTGGGTTGAGAACTGGCTGAGTGGCCGAGCTCAGAGGGTGGTGATCGGCAGCGCAGAGTCTGGCTGGAGACCTGTGACTAGCAGTGTTCCCCAGCGGTCGGTGCTGGGTCCGGTCTCGTTCAACATCTTCATCGACAACCTTAACGAGGGAATAGTGTCTGCCCTCAGCAAGTACGCTGATGACACAAAGCTGGGAGGAGTGGCTGACACGCCAGAAGGCTGTGCTGCCATTCAGTGAGACCTGGACCAGCTGGAGAGATGGGCAGGAAGAAACCAGATGAGGTTTAACAAGAGCAAGTGTAGAGTCCTGCACCTGGGAAGGAACAACCACATGTATCAGTACAGGCTGGGGGACGACCTGCTGGAGCAGAGCTCTGAGGAGAAGGACCTGGGGGTCCTGGTGGACGACAGGTTGACCATGAGCCATCAGTGTGCCCTGGTGGCCAAGAGGGCCAATGAGATCCTGGCGTGCATGAACAGGAGCATGGCCAGCAGGTCAAGGGAGGTGATCCTCCCCCTCTACTCTGCCATGGTCAGGCCTCACCTGGAGTACTGTGTCCAGTTCTGGGCTCCCCGGTACAAAAAAGACAGGGATCTCCTGGAAAGAGTGCAGCGGAGGGCCACAAAGATGATATGGGGCCTGGAGCATCTTCCCTATGAGGAAAGGCTGAGAGACCTGGGGCTGTTCAGCCTGGAGAAAAGGAGACTGAGAGGGGATCTCATCAATGTGTATAAATAGCTGAGGTGTGGGAGACAGAGGGATTTGGCCAACCTCTTTTCAGTGGTTTGCGGGGACAGGACAAGGGGTAATGGCCACAAAACTGAGCACAGGCAGTTCCGCACCAACATGAGAAAGAATTTCTTCATGGTGAAGGTGACGGAGAGCTGGAACAGGCTGCCCAGGGAGGCTGTGGAGTCTCCTTCTCTGGAGATATTCAAGGCCCGTCTGGACGCCTACCTGGGCAGCCTGCTCTAAGGAACCTGCTTTGGCAGGGGGGTTGGACCCGATGATCTTTCAAGGTCCCTTCCAACCCCTACAGTTCTGTGATTCTGTGATCATGCCAGCGTTCAGACTGTGGTTGTACTGGGCTTACTTGGCTTGAAACAGGCTTAGCAGGGCTTCAGTGGGCTGCACTAAGGTATAGGAACAATAGGAATGTGCGTAAGGCCTCAGCTGCCAAAACTGTATGATTAGCTAAGTGTTTGCTTTAGAAAACTGTTTCAAGCTCTTCTGGCTTGAAAGAGCCTTGAAAACAACAAAGATTTGAAAATGTGTCCTGAGCATCAGCTGTTGTAATTCACACCAAAAAGGTTATCTGACCTCAAGCATCACCACAGGAAGCATGGCCACTGATGCTACAGGAAGGACTGGGTGGTTTCTCAGGTGAGGCAGAAGGACCTGATAGATGCTTCAGATTTGTTTCCCCCCTGGTGGGGCTGAGTCACCTCCTCTTCTGTACTCTAGCCTCCTCAGCTCCACCGGTGATGATAAGGGCTGGAAGTTATGGTGCTTCACACTGTGCTCTCACCACGCAGCGATGGCACTGCTCACAGTAAGCTGTTCAGACAGGAGACCTGGCCTTTATGTTGCAAGGACTGAACTAATTCTCAGTGCTGACCCGTCCCTAATCATGTTTAAACATTTGAAGAGCTCTCCTTGACAATCTGGGATCTCAAGTGCCATGTAAATAATTTATAGTCTTCCTTCCACCAAGTTCTGGTTTCTCCTTTTCTTTTCTGTAAGGAGCTTGAAGAACAAGATTCCAGGAAAAAAACAAAGAAACAAACAAAAACCAAACAACAACAATAAAAGAAAGCCTTGGAGCCCCTCTCACACTGGCATTTTCATCTTACGTGTTGTCTAAGACAGTATTTTTTGCTGCAAACATAAATGAGCTTAAATGTCTTCTCAGGGTCTCATAAGCCTTCCCACATCTTGTTCTCAGTAGTTGTTACGGTTGTGTTAGTAGGCTGAACAACTTGACCTGTCATGGTTGTCCATTGCCTTTTCACAGTTCTGCCCTGCTCACAAAGCCAAATGCACTGCTTTCCCAACCAGTTTCTGAAAAAAGAGCACAGAATCATGTATCATAGAAAACTATGGGAAATACTGAGGAAGTCCTAACCACAGCACCTGTGGACAAGTACAACACTCCGAAGAGAAATAGATCAGCTCTAGTTTTGCAGCACAGCTGCTTGTCTGTGGCAGGCCATGCCAGGTTGCAGTCACTAGGATTACCTCTTGCCTGAAGAACCTGCTTGGCCCTTTGCAGAACCAAGGGTTTTGATTTCCAGATGAGTCGTGGAGTAGATGGACATACATGTACTGCTTCAGCTCTAGTAGTGGAAAGATTCCCTACCTGCTTGCCAGAGTCCTGAGCAAATTTCAGAGAATTAAGCTTAAGAGTGTAAAGCACAGCTGCAAGGGGCGCGGAGTGCAGAACTGCTGCATTTCATTGGCCCTTGTTTGAAAATACTTGGCTTATAAGAGTACTTCTGCAGCTCTGTCTTGTTCATTCTCATTAAATTTATAGCCAAGCCAGAAAATGGAATATTTTGAATCATAAAGGATTTCAAATTAAAAAAACAACAACACTTTTTTGATGTCCGTGAATTGTATGCTCAAAACAGAAATCTGTGTCACGCATACCATAGGAGTGTCATAACTATTGTGTCTGTCTCTATGGAAGCCTTAGGCAGAATAACCATTGACTTTCCACC